TTCTATCTGACCTCCGTCCTCCCCTTCAGTCTTCTATCTGACCTCCGTCCTTCCCTTCACTCTTCTATCTGACCTCCGTCCTTCCCTTCAGTCTTATATCTGACCTCCGTCCTTCCCTTCACTCTTCTATCTGACCTCCGTCCTCCCCTTCAGTCTTATATCTGACCTCCGTCCTCCCCTTCTATCTGGCCTTTCCTCACCAGCCCGACTGTCCCTGGTCCCGCCCCTTTCATTCATTGGATTACATTTTTTTTCAATCATGGAGGCTCAGGATCACCTGTGGACGGTCTGCATGCAAATGCCACCTGCCTAGGAATGCCCACTCCTCCAGACTGTCACCCACCTATCAAGGCAATGTTTACATTTGCATAACTCCACTCAAAAGCTTGCATCAGGACTGATGGCGCTTGAGAGAAGTACTGAGGCAGGGTGCTGTGATGTTTTCAGGACCCTATGTACAGCACCCTGATGGCCCCTCCCACCAGCCACAATCTGCCTACATTACTGAATATAATATAATGTAACTAAAAAGGGAAGGTTCTATATAAAAATATTACTAAAATTTTGATGGGGGAAGAGGAGTGAACCGAGGACTGAATTTAAGCAGATAATATGGCGTCTCCTCCTCCTCCCCCCAGCCCGGCACTTCTGAGGAACGGAGTCATCGGCAGATTCAGCGTTTCCTCTCGGTTCATGACCCCCGTGCAGCAATCAGATTACAACACCGGCAAAACACACATTCCTCCCATACAACTCTGCACATGACTCCGCCCAGCAGACGTTCACGAATCAAACTCCACGCAACTTTATTTCCTTCCAAGGAAAAACAAACGTTTAACCCTTTCCCTGCCAGAGACGGCTTTACACACACACACGCGTTACAATTCACATTTTAGGCTGATTAGCAGGGAAGCCGCCTCCATGCTTCTCGGCGCTAGGTGACGAGGGAGCATGGAGCCGGCTTCCCGACCAATCAAAAAGACTGCCACCGTGTCATTACATGCCCCCCTGCTTCCCGATTGGCCGGCTCCATGCTCTCTCGTCACAAGACGAGATTGGCCAGCACGAGTGGCAAGAGAGCATGGAGCCGGCTTCCCGGCCAATCAGGAAGCCGGGCAGCGTGTGATGACTTACTGCCCGGCTTCCTGATACCGGAGGTATCGTTCTAGGCAGCGGAGCATTTGGGCGAGTGCGAGTACTCGGTATCTGTGCATCCCTACTAATAACCTCTCGTTACACCCGAGGTCTGCATGAGAACATCTCTGATTGCCCGACACGTCCAACCTTGAAGGGGCTACAGCTGCAGAAGACACACCGGGTGCCACTCCTGTCAGCTAAGAACAAGAAACGGAGGCTACAAGTCACAAGGACTCACCAAAACTGGACTATAGAAGACTGGAAAACGTTGCCTGGTCTGATGAGTCTCAATTTCTGCTGCAACATTCGGATGGTCGGGTCAGAATTTGGTGTACACAACATGAAAGCATGGATCCATCCTGACCTGTATGAAGGGTTCAGGCTTGTGGTGGTGTAATGATGGGGGGGATATTTTCTTCGCATACTTTGGGCCCCTTAGTACCAACTGAGCATTGTTTAAAATGAGAACTATGAGGTCAGTGTTTTTCCCCATAGTTCTCCTTTAAATGTCACAACCTACCTGAGTATTGTTGCTGACCATGTCCATCCCTTTATGACCTCAGTGTACCCATCTTCTACTTCCAGCAGGATGACACGCCATGCCACAAAGCTAAAATCATCTCAGACTGGTTTGCTGGACATGATAATGAGATCACTGGACTCCAATGGCCTCCACAGTCAGCAGACCTCCATCCAATAGAGCACCTTTGTAACGGGAGATTCACATCATAGTTGAACAGATCTGCAGACAACTGCGTGATGCCGTCATGTCAATGTGGAGCAAACTCTCCAAGGAATGTTTCCGGCACCTTCTATGACATGAAGAATGAAGACACAAGGGGGTACCGGCCCGGGACTAGCAAGGGGGACCCGATACAGTGGCCGGTGAGTGTATTTGGCTGGCAGTGACTGTTTATTTGGGAGTAACACAAGATGTGACTTGTAACGTATAAAGGAGCGCAGAAGTCTTGTCAGGGATGGTTCGGGAACAAAGGACGGCCTGGAAAGAATGAGTCACAACAACAACAATCATCACCAGAGATCTCCGACACAGAGGACCGGAGGTTCAGGAGGACAAAACACAGAGTGACGTCCTCCTGAATGAATGAACAGCGCTCAGGTCGCTGGCGCCGTGCGGATATCAGTACGAGGGATCGGCGACACAACCGGTTAGGTTACTATACCAGACAGAGAGGAGGTTCCTTTATAAAGACTTCCTGAATCTCAGATTACATTCTGGCCCAATCTACATCCCAAATTTCGTGTCTTAAAGTGACCTCGTCACCCGACCGATCATTGCAATAACAATCTTCCCTTAAGATGATATGTGCATTCAATGGAAGTTACTGATAGAGATGCACCGATCCTGGCTTTTTGGTATGAAGTACGAGCACCGATTTGTTTGGTTCCGGTACTTGCCGTTACCGAATACCGCATCTTGGCAGGAGTTATGCAAATACCAAAATGCCTCAATGGGCAGGTGTCAGTCGGGAGTAGCGGGCGTTCCTGGCTGGGTATTTGGCATGTAGACCGCACTAGATAACACCCACATGCCATCACAACACCCTGCCTTAGTACTCCTCTCAAGGGCCCTGATACAAGTAGTGGGCGGGCTCTTGGGAGGAAAGTGGTTGGTGATTGGATGAAGGTGTTTGTGCTACCTGTTGTGGTATTTTCCTGACACTCGTAAGAAGCAGCTTGGAGAGGCTACGAGACGTCTTCAGCATTACAGAACCATTCCATGTCGATGTGAA